CACTCTGTACATAAGCTTGTCACGGGGCATATAGGCAGGATCACTGCAATCCCACACAAGCTTGTGATAAATCTCTACCAGCTCATCTTTCCTCTTCTCCATTGAAAAAAGAACAGTGCTACTTAAGCAACTCAAAGAGGTGGGGGTGAGAAAAATTCCTGTGACAATCTCAAACTATCAAAATTAAATTTGATGGTTAAAGGTTACTTCACCTGACACCAGTGACAGCCAGGTTAGAACTAATTGCACCTCAAATTAAATTTCTTAAGTAGTCTTTTGTGATTTTGCAATAAGCCACCCAGATAATTTACAGTTAGCGAGTCCACATGACAGGATTCAGACAGTCTGTTATTTACTACTTTTCATTTTTAAAACAAACATTACATATCTGGGATACAACTGTAAAATGCTGCAGTCTGAGTGGCAAGGAAGTATACTTGAATACAGGCAATTCCAATGCATGCATTTCCAATTAAAAACTCCTCTAAAACGCCCAAAACTTGCATTACAGTACAATTATGAAGCTACAAACCAACATAAATGTTTTGGAAAAATTGTTCTAAAAAATTTTTAAAAATCACTTTTCCAAAGAAAATACTCTTCCCAGAAAACTTGTTTTCCAAGAGAAGGCGTCTGGGCCCTCTAATGTGCCTGTTCCACTGAGTAGCTCGCTATCTCAAGTCTAAAATATTGCAAAGGCATAACTTTTGCAAATCAACTAGCAGTATTAAGCTAATAGCTTAAGAAAATTTGCATTAGATATAGCACAGGAAAGTTGCTTGTAGTTTGTATTTTAACACTAACAGATAAACTTACTCATAGGACGCAGACCCTGGGGTGACTGTCCTTGTTGCTGATTCTTCACTTGAGCCTGGGGCTGTGTCTGCATCTGGTTCCCTTGATAGGTCAGTCCAAGGGCTGCATAGGCTCTCTCGATGGAGCTGGGGTCTATCTGACTGGTAGTGTTTATGCTGGGCGTTGTCTGCTGCCCCACACCCACGGAGCCAGTATTTGCAAGTCCTACTGCAGCTCCGCCCAGCAGCGCTGGAAGAGACATCTGAAGTTAGTAAAGACAGCAGGCGGTAGCCAAAGAGGGCCATGAAAACAGGAAAAGAACATAAAGAGTGCACTGGCTGTTCAAAGTAAAACATCTCCTCCTAGGAGCATGCAGAGAAGAGGCCAGGTCTGGAAACCTGTCATGCAACATGGAGACAAGTTTTGACCCAACCAGCTATTCCAACAACACGCCGTTTTCCCTTTGAGCTGCTGAGAGGAAATCCCACTCTAAGTATCTAGGACACATCTGTTTGCTTCAAACTGAAAACAGAGATACACCATGTCACAGAGGCTAAAGGCAGAAGGGTACATACAGCTCTTCAGCAGCCATTGTAATAGCTTGCTTCCCCCCCCCCCAATTTTCTTGAAACAAGAGATATCTCAGCTCACATTAGTCATGAGAAGAGCCCAAAGTAACATTAAGAAAGCAAAAAACACAACCAACAACCAGGTACCAATGACAAAAATCTTCCCAAAGATTTTGGCAGAAAGACAAAAGGGACACAAAGAGAAGAAGGAAAAGACATATAATGCAAACAAAGGATGGAGACAGAACCAAATATCATCAGGGCTGAAATTACACAACCCTCTGTGTATGTGCACATCTGTCTCCAGAACCTGGTCAGCTGGAAGAGGTGGTAGTGAAAAGCCAATCATTTGGTTGAGAAAGCTATGGCTTGTTCATTCTTACCACCCTCCTGCTAGGAAAATCCAATAAAGTTAGAAAGCTTTAATAAACACTAGCTATCAGAGACAGAAAAATATTCTGTGACTCTAAAGCAAGAGGAAAATCATATTACATGTTCCCAGACTCAAGAGCATCACCACTCTTACCTGGGTGCAAGGAAGTTTAACTAATGTACATTTTATGGTTCATTCAATAGACAGAACTCCCCAGTACACTTACATTGTTGATTTCTTTTGTCCCCAGCATTTTTGAGAGGCAAACATACAGGACAGTCATGTCTTGTACAATTCTTCCAGTGTGAGATGATTTGTCGGGAAGATGCACAATGTGCCACTGAGAAAGGGAGGGGAACAAAAAACTTTTACAAACTACTGCCAGTATCTCCACATGGTCAACACAAACTGGGTAGGGAGCAACTACTTTTCTCAGGGCACACATCTGTATCATCAACGCAGGTCAGTAAAGTATTACTTGAAATAGTTCAGCACTAACCAGCCCTGAAAACGTAGCTAGATTTCTTCAAGTACTATTGGCTCAACTAAAGCTTACTTGAAATCTGTGTTACACACCCAAACCTACATCTTCCTGGTTTGAAGGATAACACCATATACCTCAGGCATCAGGCAGACTGTACCAAGCAACTGAGGTGCCAGCAATTGGCACAACTCAGACGAACCTAGGCTACCAAAAAGGTAGCATACAATTTCCTTGGCTACTAGGATAGACTAAGAAATCACGAGCGCAAGTAGCAGCTTAATTCCTGGTTAGCTATTGCTTGAGACTTGTCTCTTCCATTTAAGGGAGAGAGGTAGACTCCTACTTGCAGATTCCTGTTTTGTGTCTACCCTTATCAGAAGGCAGCATGCAAAAGATCTTACAGTGAGTTACAAAGTTAAGCAAAAGATCTGCATTCATCTCTTTGTGCTATCTTTTCCCCTCTAACTTGCCTAAACTCTGAAGGCTCAGTAGAAGTTTATGACTTCCATTCTTAAGGGGACGGATAGGTTGAAAAAAATTCTACTTCCCAAGCCAGCCACTAGTTCTCCATCTCTTTCTTATCCTGCAAATGTTGACCACATCTATATAATCACTCCACTTACCCTGGCAAGATTTGCCAGCCTGACAATGTGTCATGTGGTTCAGGACATTCTTCATGGTTCGACAGTGAGGGAGGTTGCACTGCCGCACCTCCCCGTTGGCCTGTTCTCGTCGCTGACATTTGTGAGCGTGCAAGAGGAGAACTAGTTGCTGCTGAATGAGTTTGCGTTTTTCTGGATCCGCTGTCGGTGCTCCAGACCCCATTCCTTGAGAAGCTGCTGGCCCCATCCCAGCTTGCTGAACTTGTGGAGCCTGCTGCTGGCCCTGGAGAAGGTGGAAAGGAAATTCCCAGAAATAAATCTATTTTTGAGAATAATCCATTTAGTAAGTAACCAACAGCAACAATTAAAAAAAAAAATCAAAGAGGAGAAACGACGACTACATTCTGTGATTAAGGGAATAACTCACCTACCTGTAATTCCAGATGACTCATTAAATATACCCCTTAGCACCAGTCCTGGCAATAATTCTCTCGTCAGCCACAATTTCTTCCCCACATCACTCTCCTAGTCCTAGCTCTTGCCTTATCAAAGACCAGCAGAAGTTTGCACATGCTCACAGGTTAATTTGCAGTACTAGACCAACCAGAAAATAGTAATAGCACTTAGATCTCAAATCTTCTCATTTTGAAGGCTAGAAAGTTGCATCCACAATTCTTGCAGTAATGGAAGAAAGCACCTTTTAGAGTGAAGAGAGTTTTCCCTCTATTTCAGTACAAGGTGCCTCAATTTGACTGTTCCTAGAAAAGAAGAATGAAGGGGAAGTTCTGGGAATCTTTTTTCATCAGGAAACTTGCACGTAGGCATTCAAAACAAGCATCTCCTAGTCTCTGCTACAGATGAAGCACAACTTCAGGGTAACACATGCCACAGAACTAATGTCAAGTATGGTAACATCTAGTACTTCTTCTGTACTTCTGTCTGTTCCTTCAGACTTCTTCGTATTTCTTCCAGGCAACATTTGAGGAGTACTCAGCAAAGAGGAGAGGCTCAGCAACTCTACGTGGCTTGTATCACTTCAGTTCAACAGCCTTCAGTTTCTAACAGACTCTTCACAGAAGGTTGTAGAAGATGTTTTTAGAGATCTCCAGACTTTTAGAGCTCAGCTACCTATATTCCTAAACTTGAGTTCTCCCATAGCTCTTCAATACCAGTATTAACCTTTCATTTTACAAGGAGACTTCACCAATTACTCAGTCCCCTCAGGGTTTCTATAGGTTCCAATATGACCATAACTGCCTTGTTTGTGACCTGTTATTCTAAATGACAGCTGAGATCTCAGCTGAACCTAGGAATGAAAAGTTGCTGCTTAGCAGTTCAACTTCAGAAGAATTATATACTCTGCCCTGAATACAAGCTTGACAGGTGGGGTTCTGAACAGTAAATTTTGGCTGCTTCTTTATTGGTTCATAAAACCAACTCGTTTGTTGGCCTTCCAGAAAGTTCAATATTCAACTTAAACTTTAAATAAAACTCACAGGATTGAGCTCTTTTTAATTCAAAGGTACAAAAGTTACTCGGAAATGGGTTTTTCAGCAACAGTTAGTAAGATCAAGAGACTGACCTTCCTGGGGGTGAGTGGAATTTGAAGCAGGCAGAAATACAAGCTATATTCAGAAACATGAATTTGTTTCCCAAATTAAAAAAGTATATGTAGCAGCAGAGGGATGGCAGAACACGTTGCATGTTATACCCCTACCCAATTTAAGCTTCTAAAATAATGAGACAAAACACATTCAGCCACCAGTGTTAAGCTCAAGCTAGGGAACCTGATGTTAAGGCCTATTATTTATAAGCTTGGGCCATCCACTTTTTAGCCATCCACTTTTCCCACCACTCTTACTTCCCCTTTCTACAAGTTCTGCTGCAATAATGGGGCGGGGGTGTAGGAAGGAGGAAGCGACAAGGCTACTACAGCAACAACTGCCAGGGAGCCTCCAGCATCGTAATTCAGAACGGTAACGAACACATGACTGGGGCTTCTAAGCCCTATCATAGGCAATACCCGTTTGAGAAGGGATGCTTCTCTCTCCCAAAAGCACCAGCGAGCACAAGCAAGAAAACAATCCTCAAGACAAAGCTACACTGAGAAGGGACCCAATATACCAGCCACAAGAGAAAGGATGGGAGAGGAGAGCAAAGGTGTCCAAACAGGTGGCAAAGCTCACTTGAGTTAAGGAGCTCCTTTTCATTTTCTCTGCTAACAAGGTTTGAAGGGTGAAGAGTGGAGGTGCAGCTTATCAACAGAAAAAGCACAACTCAGCCCTCTCCTCCATATCAGCCCTTTTAGGAGTTGGAGCAAGTGCATTATGTGTGGATTCAGAGCACACATTCACACTGGGTATGACAGCTGCAAAAACCTACAACATGGCAACACCAGAGCATATTGGTCCACTTTGGTCTGCTACGACATTTTTGGAGACACCGTTCATTCTACTTACCATGTTAGGAATTCCTGCCCCAGGAACTGGCTTCTTGTCCCTTGGAAACTGTGGTAAGCTATTCTGCAGTCCAGCTTTATTCTGCATTTGAGGCCCAAGTCCACTGGCTCCAATCTGCTGCCCAGTATTCTGACTATATGGCTGGCCGTAAGGGCTGGGATTGCTCATCATTCCCATCTAGGAATTAAAATGGTAAGACGTTGAAGTAATATGCTTTAAGTTCACAACATAAAAGGCAAATGAATACTTCAGAGAAGCAAGAGTGATCATATCCATGAACCAGCTGCAATGCAATACTGATCCACATGCTTCCCCTGCCCCTTTATGTGCATGTATTTACCCATCACACAACATTAACTCCTCAACCAGACAGTTCCTATAAACAGAGTGAGGCCAACTTACCAACCTTTGAGGTCAGTCTTGTCAGAACTGGCCCAATTATTTCTTTATAAGAGATTTTGTTCAATAGATTTCTTATTTCAGTTTTCCCCGTCACAGATTTGTACTATATAACTCACAAGTCTGGAAAAATTTTTTCTGCTCCCTGCATCTGCGCAGACTCCAAATGGAGACAAATACCACCTTCATTCATATCAGCAGGGTTTATCCCAAATACCTCCTACCCAACTGTCAGCACTCCCACACCTCCTCTCCAGACAGCCATAACAATGCACATCTCCATTTTCAGTACACAACCATTTTCAATTTAAGAATACACTATAGGCATAGGTAACACCACACACAGGCACAGTAACTCATTTGCAATGAGCTGTACTAGAGGTCAAAGGAGATGGTAGGAAGGAACTCTGCAAACAAAACAAAGCTACTGAACCATTCATCTACAGGGGAAGTAATTCATGTTTCACACAAGCTATATGCTCCTTTCTGCAATATGCATCACCTATTTGCATATTCAACAGTGTTAGCATACCAGAATATACCATTTGTTGCCTTGGAATGCCCCAGAATCTAAAGAACCATCAGGATTAATCTTGCCAATGCAGCTGTTTGTCCTCTTTTTTCCCATTCCTTGCATTCCCACCTATTTTTCATGGAAAAAGTGGCCTTCAGGACCAAAACAACTACCCATAGAGGACCAGGAAAAGATTACCAAGTTCTCCCCATTACTCAGGCAGGATCCTAGAGGAGCCATAAGTCATAATAATAAAGGCACGAAAATACTTTTACAAGCTGTATTGTTTCAACTCACATTAGCATTTGACTAGACAATGTTCAGTCTCCTTGATGTTTTTTGGTTCAAGTCTGGGCATTTTCCTGCATCCAAAAAAGCGCATACAAGCTCCTATGGTAGGTTTGTTTCCAGTCACTCCTACGTTTATTCTCAAAGCATCCCTTGCTTCTACTCCTTACCAAGCTTCTCCAACCTGCACAGAGAAGTAACCTACATGCCTGGAGATTACCTGTGATTACAACCTGAAAAAGGAAAGTGGTTGACTAATACCTGCCAATCCATAATAACGGCCTTCAGTTTGCATTTACACAATAAAGCAGGATCGAAACCAAGCTACACGAAAAGGAGTACAAAACTCACTAAAAGAACCTACCACTTTAGACATCTGATACATACAAGTGAATTCTCTTGAGGGCAGCCTCCCTCCTCCATGCAAAAGTAATATCCATAATAACACAGCAGTAATTCATTAGAGAGTAATGAAAAGAATCTCTACACATGGCAGATAAACAAACTATGCAATGATCAGGCAGAACTAAAAAAGCTTCCTTTCCTGTCTCCTCTGGCACCACCCCTGCTGTGTCTCCACGGTGATGAACACACATATGCAGTGACTGATGAGGCAGCTGCTGCCAAAAACAGAACAGGTAAGACTCAAACCCTTCCTGCCTCTCAGAAGACTAATAAGATCTTATGTGCAAGTTGAACAGAAGGGAAAGGGGAGAAGGAAAATGTAAGGAGTCAGCAAACACACTTTCAGGACTCCTCCCCATCATCATTGCTGCCTCAAACTGTCCAACAGGTTCAAGACTTAGTGAAGGACTGACAGCAGGAA